AAACCTTTGGTATCTCTTTACCCAAGATGGTATAATAAAAAGGTCTTTTGTGAGTATCATGTTGGAATCCGATGACACTCCATTGTGAAAGAATCCAACGGTTGAGAAATGACGGAGAAGGATTATGCAAGGCTTATATTTCCCTTTGATTTGACTCTTTACAAGTGTGCAACTACAGAGAGAGAGAGAGAGAGGGAGAGAGAGAGAGGGAGAGAGAGGGAGAGAGGGAGAGAGAGAGAGAGGGAGGGAGAGAGAGAGAGAGGGAGAAAGAGAGAGAGAGAGAGGGAGAGAGAGAGATAGATAGAGAGAGAGAGAGGGGTATAAAACGCTAAGCTTGAGAAAAAGGAACCAACCAACCATTAATGCAATTCTTCCCACCTTCCTCTTAAAAAAGCTCTCCTTTTCCTCTTCACTTTTACTTTTGCAGCCATCATCATTATATTCATATTTTACTTGCACTACTGCCATCAATAAACCAAAATTCAAGCCTTTGGCTACTATATTCTTTCTCTATAGACCTCTTCTCCCATAGGTTCTTCCTTTCTGCTTGGTTTACTTCGAGTCTGCGTTGAGTTGGTTTGCAGAGCAAAAATGGTGAGCTTTTTCTCCCTTTTGGGTGGTTTAGCTTTTGGGTATTATTTTCTAGTTTTCTTATCTTCTTCATTGCAAAATGTCAATAGTTATGGCTTTCAAAACCCAGATCGGCTCATTTTCTGTACATGTGTAGGTAAACAAGAGTTGAAGAGAGTGGCGGCTTGATCTGATGGGGATTTGCTTAAGTGCTAGAATCAAAGCTGAGTGCCCCTGTAACACAGGTAGTTTAAGAGTGGTGGCTTGATCTGATGAAGATTTTCCTTTTTTGTGAACACCATTTCTATATTTGTTGGTTTCATTATAGTTCCCCTGAACTTCATATTGGTTTTAATTAAGTACTTGATATTCCCTTTCCAGGCACCATTTCTATATTTGTTGGTTTCATTATAGTTCCCCTGAATTTTATATTGTCTTTAATTAAGTACTTGATGTTCCCTTTCCAGGGTTATCTATGATATAGGTATTAGTTTTGAACTTTCAAGCTGCAATTAAGGTGGATTATGTCACTTAACTAATGCGTCCTACTCGATGTTGTCCGTACAGGGTTGAGTTCGAACTGCGTTAGCGGTGATGGGAAAGATATGAGCAGTACGAGCAGCAAAGTGTCATCAGTTTCGGTGCACCTGACACCTGGGTGAGATATTACAGTCCAATTTGAAAAGCTTCACTTTTGCTAATCTCAAAATGGCCACCAGGAATTTCCGTCCCGATAGTGTACTTGGAGAAGGTGGTTTTGGCTCCGTCTTTAAGGGATGGATCGATGAAAATTCATTCGCAGCATCCAAACCTGGGACCGGCTTAGTTATTGCTGTGAAAAGGCTTAATCAGGAAGGCTTCCAAGGTCACAAGGAGTGGTTGGTGAGTTCATTTTCACGCGATCATTCGGATTTCATGTGAACTATCTGATTGGTTTCGCATTCATTATTAGTTGGATGACATTTTAAGCTTATAGATTAAGCATATCTGATCGGTATTAACAGCTGACGTTTCGAAATTTCCTAATTTTATTCCGGGTTTAATTAACTTGCTTGCTTAAGATGATCTTTTGCTTTTAAAGTACTGAGATTAATGCACATTATTTATTCAATCTTATAGGCTGAGGTGAATTATCTGGGACAACTTCATCATCCAAATCTCGTGAAATTGATTGGATATTGCTTAGAGGATGAACACCGTCTGTTGGTGTATGAGTTCATGCCTCGAGGCAGCCTGGAAAATCATTTATTCAGGAGTAAGTTCTTTTTGTGAATTTCTTGGCGATGTCAAACAAAATTTTTCTTAACCGAAACAAAAGTGATATATCGGGACTTCAAGACTTCCAATGTCTTGCTTGATTCAGTATGCGGCTCCTTAAGAAAACATTGTTTCCCGTCCCGTTGTATTGTTTCAGTCATCCATAATTTTTAAAAATCTTGGTCCTTCATTACAGAACTACAATGCAAAGCTTTCTGATTTTGGGTTGGCTAAAGATGGGCCAACAGGTGATAAGAGCCATGTTTCGACCAGGATAATGGGGACCTACGGATATGCCGCACCTGAGTGTTTAGCCACAGGTACTTTTTGACATAATTTTGAAGTGCTCGATTTAGTGTGCTTCACTCTTTCTCAGCTTGGATCGACTTTCGGAGTCCGTATTTTCTTTTATTTATTATTTATTACTCCATCCGTAGGTCATTTGAGTGCTAAGAGTGATGTCTATAGTTTCGGAGTTGTGCTGCTAGAGATGTTATCCGGCCGCAGAGCAGTCGACAAGAATCAACCGTCCGGAGAACATAATCTGGTGGATTGGGCCAAACCTTACCTGGCCAACAAACGGAAAATGTTCCGCCTCCAGGATAGCCGTCTCGAAGGTCAGTATTCAATGAAGGGAGCCTATAAAGCCGCTACCCTTGCTTTGCGGTGCATTTCCACGGAACCCAAATTCAGACCAAGAATGAGTGAAGTGGAAATAATATTGGAGCAGCTCAAATGAATCCGAAAGTAATCAGAACAACACACCTCGGATACGAAGGCGAAGTGCAAACGATGCTAGTGGTGGTAGGGGAAGGAGTCCTACGGCATACCCTCGGCCATCTGCTTCGCCTCTTCATGCCTGAAAATCAAAGCTCATTTCAGGTGGTCCCGAAAACCTCCAGAGCTGGGGCTGAATTCACCATTTTATAACCCGTTAATGTACAGTTTGTTTAAACTGATGTTACTCAAAAACCAGTCTCCCCCATACAATTGGAAGGGAAAATGCTTGAAATATTGGGAATGTATTACATGAACCGAGTGCGTATTTTGTTTGCAAAAACTATATTTACGAGCCAAAAAGAGTCGGAGAAGGAAACAAACTGTCGGATCGTTTGGACAGAGACGGACGGAAGGGCCTTGACTTCCAAATGGATAAAATTACAATTTTAACCCCCTCAATTTCAATTAGTGCTATGGTAAAATTGTGAGCACCAATAATCATGAGTATCATTAATTTAATCTATAAAAATTTAAAATTTTAAAATACTCAACATAAATTAGTTGAATCATATAAATCAGTTGAAAATTTAAAATTAAATTATTTAAAATAAAAGGTAAACTATACTAATGACCACTTAACTATTTTCCTTTTTTATTTTGACAACAATTTTGAAATTTTATCAATCAAGTCACTCAATTATTTAAATGCATTCAATTAAGTCACTTGTCGTTAATATTAAATTAAAAAATTGACGTGTCAATTAAAATATTTGATATTATTACACATTTGGTCCATGTTACATATATATATTCTATCAATTTGGTCCTTATTTTAATAAATTAAAATAAACTTAACCCTCAAATCAAATGAAGCTAAAGTAGTCTTTATTCATCTTATTCTTTCAATTTTTAGGAAAACAAACAAGAAAGAAAAGAAATGAAAACTTACAAAAATTGACTTCATTTTTGAGAAATTAAAAAAAAATAAATATCAAACGCTTTGATTTCAAAATACATCTATATAAATAATAAAGAAAAGAAAAGAAAACTTACAAAAAATTGATTTCATTTTTGAGAAATTAAAAAAATTAAATATCAAACGCTTTGATTTCAAAAATACATCTATATTAAGTAAAATCAAAATTTAAACTCTTAAAAATTAATCAAAAACAATTAGATTTTACTTATAATGCGACGAATTAGATAAAAGTAAAATTATAATACTTGGGTAGCAGAGTAATAAAAAATAAAAATTTTAAACAAATGGTCTAAAAGTAATTACAAAATAAAAGAAAACATCAAATTTAAACTCCTAAAATTAGTGAAAGATATAACTTAAACACATGAATTTGTCACACTAATTGTCTTGCATGTATCAGTGTAAACTATAGTATTTTAAGCTAAAAAAGAACATAGAGAAATGCTGCTGGCACATCTCACCATAAAACATTGGTATGTTTATTTTTCTTTATTATTAGAAATAATAAAAGTCGATAAAGAGAAAAAAATTATACTGGCTGACATTAAATTGGATTCCTCTCTAATTAACTACTTTGACATATTTGAGGGTTAAATTTATTTTAATTTATTAACCAAATTGATAGAACACATACGTAACATTGATTAAATGTGTAATTATACCAAATATTTTAACTGTCACATCAACTTTTATGTTAAATATTAATGGTAAGTGGTTTTATTGAATGCATTTAAATAGTACTAAAGTGACATGATTGAAAAAATTTCAAAAATGACGGTCAAAATAAAAAGGATGAATAGTTTGGTGTCACTAATTTAGTTTACCTTTTATTTTAAATAATTTACCTATAAATTTTCAACTAATTTAAAATTATACGTTGAGTCCTTCAAAATTTTAACTTTTTATAAATTAATTTATCGGTGCTTATCATTAGTAGTGCTCATCACCGATTATCGAGCATGAAAAAAATCATCCAATTGCTTTTTACCCACAAAAACAAATTTTTCAGTTTAATCTCATAACAATTTATAAATTCATAGAATAAATTTTGGTCCCTATGATTCTTTTTTCCAGATTCGCCCAGGGTGGATCAAATATTATCCATTCGAAAAGACCAAACACTGGTTCGAAAAACGTGTGAAAGCAAAGTCCATACTTTTGTTGTTAAATGAGACACTTTGACTGATCAATGTTTTTAACCATGCAAATATATGTGTAAGATTCCCCTTCCTCTTTTTTAGTTTTTATTAGGATATATTATTTGTTAAGTTAACCATATGCTTGTTGGGTTAATTGTTAGTTAGTTTGTTTTTTTTTGTTAGTTTTGGTAGTTAGTTAGCTCATAGTGCTTGTATATAAACAACAACTTGATATATCACTTTTCTAAAATATAAAAGATGAGAATTTTATTCTTTCATTGTTTTCTTGATTTTTATATGGTATCAGAAGTTTTGTCTCTTTTTCATGCTTCATCATGACTACTTCGTTGAGTGATAGCTTCGACAATGGGGGTAATCCCTATTATTTGCATCAGTCCGATAATCCCGGTGTTGTTTTGGTAACTCAACTGCTATCCAACGACAACTTTCATAGTTGGAAACGATTGATGGTGCTTGCTCTCTCTGCCAAGAACAAACTCAGATTTGTTGATGGTTCCATTGCAGCTCACGATCCATCCATGGTAGATCAGTTCAATGGTTGGACTCGAGCCAATAATTTTGTGAATTCTTGGATTCTGAATTCAGTTTCCAAAGATATTGTTGCCAGCTTGCTTTATCACATATCAGCGGCAGAGATGTGGAAAGATTTGATTGATCATTTTCAACAATTGAATGGACCACACTTATTTCAGTTAAAGAAACGGTTGTGTGAGCTTGTGTAAGATCAAATGTCAGTAAGCACCTATTATACTCAATTGAAAATCATTTGGGATGAATTATTTTTGCTCAAGTAGTTATGCAATTGTCTTCATTGTACTTGTGGAGGACTACAACACATGGTTAATGAGCAACAACAATAGCATGTCATTCAATTTTTAATGGGTTTAAATGAGTCTTTTTCTCATGTACGAGGGAAGATTCTTTTGATGGATCCTTTACTGCCTGTTTCCAAGGTCTTTTCTTTGATTCTTCAAGAAGAAAATCAAAGAAGTGTGCATACTGCTCATCTCATTTATGAACCTACTTTTGATGTCAAGACTCAATCTGGTAATTGCAAGAACATCCCTTGTGCAGTTATTGTAACATTCTTGGTCACACAATGGATAGATGTTACAAATTGCATGGTTATCCACCAGGTTATAATTCCAAAAATTCATCTTCGAATTCTTCGATTGTTCGTAGTAAAGGTTCTTAGGTGGCACACAAATTTGGTGGTTTCTCAACAAGATTCTTCTTCGAATAATGATGTTTTCACCCCTCAGCAATGCCATCAATTAATTTCTATGCTTATATCTCAGCTTCAAAATGCTTCATCTTTGGACGTTCCTTCCACGTCCATAAATACTACAATGCAAGGTAAGCTTTTATCGCATATGGACAGTTTATCCCTTGGAAAGTTGGATTATTGGATTATGGATTCTGAAGCTTCACGACATGTCTGTTATTCCAAATCTCTTTTTGAATCTTTATTTCCTATCACAAGTTGTTCAGTTACCTTGATTGATATGTTTACAATATCAGTCAAATTTGCGGGAACAATCAGATTTTCTCTTGATTTTGTTTTGCATGGTGTATTGTTTGTACCAGGTTTTTGATTCAATCTACTATTAGTCAGTGCCTTGTTAAGCGATTCTGATTTCAGTGTGTTGTTTTGGAAAACAAATTGTTTGATCCAGGACCTTCATCAAGTGATTGGGAAGGGTGAGCTGTTTCAAGGCCTCTACTTGCTACAGATGTCTTCTTGCGCATCTAGTTTTCCTTGTAATATTGTTTCTAGTGATTCGTTCATTGCTTGGCATAATAAACTAGGCCATCCTAGTTCCCATGTTCTGCATCTTCTTAAAGATTTTTTATCTTTAAAAACTGTAAATGCGAGAGATCCTTGTCAAGTTTGCCCATTGGCTAAGCAACAAAGATTATCTTTTCCTATTTCATGTTTCCATTCTAAGCAACCTTTTGAACTAATTCATTGTGACATATGAGGACTTATAAGCATAAAACATATTTGAATCAGACTTCATCTCTTATTTTGGTCTATGATTTTTTGAGATCTACTTGGGTTTATTTCTTGCAACACAAATCCGATATTAGTTCAACAATATCTGGTTTTATTTCTATGGTAAAACGAAAGTTTGGTTTTGATGTTAAGCATTTCAGGTCTGATAATGCACTCGAGTCAAAATTTACTGAGTTGTTTGCTAGTTTGGGAATAGTTCATCAATTCTTTTGTGTAGAAACACCTCAACAAAATTCTATGGTTGAGAGGAAACACCAACATTTGTTGTCTGTTGCTAGAGCTTTGTTTTAGTCAAAAGTACCAATTAAGTTCTAGGGTGATTGCTTGTTAACCGCTACGTACTTGATTAATCGACTTCCTTCACTTGTTCTAGAAAATAAGTCTCCTCACGAGTTTTTATATGGTCATTTACCAGATTATGGTCATTTGAAAGCTTTTGGATGCCTTTGTTTTGTTTCCACATTGAAATCACATAAAGATAAATTCTCTCATCCTACTTTACCTGCTGTGTCTCTTGGATATCCTCCTGGTGTAATGGGGTATCGAGTTTATGTGCTACAAACTTAGAAGTTTATGGTTTCCCGCAACGTGGTATTTCATGAGAACATTTTTTCCATTTCAAAACGTTCAGTTGACTGATCATTTTGTTGATGTTTTCCAGGATTTTTATTTACCACACATTTTGCGAGATTCGGTTGATCACTCACAGGTTTTCGAAACTCAGCCTGTATAGAATGATTCATTACATGAGCAATAAACTAATCCTGAAATTATTATGGAGGAAAATAATGTTTTGTCTGGTGTTGATGATGTTTCTATCGAAACAAGTGTTGTATAACAAATAATTCATGATGTGGTTCCACAGTCTGTTTAACGATCTTCTCGTGTTTCTCAAAAACCATCATATCTTCAACGTTAATAATGTAATAATGCCTTATCTCAATTTTATTATCCCATTGAAGATTATTTTTCTTCTTCGAGTTTTTCTTCTGAGTATAATGGTTTTGTTGCCAATATATTTTCTCAATGTGAGCAATCCTTTTATCACCAGAATGTTAAGTCTTTCGTTTGGAGAGATGCTATAGATGATGAACTTCGAGCTATGGAGTCTCTTGACACTTGGTACATCATTCCTTTACCTGAAGGCAAGAATTCTATCGATTGCAAGTGGGTATATCTAAATGGGGTTCTCGATGAGGAGGTTTACATGAAATTACCTCTTGGGTACAGGCCTGATCTCAAAGGTGGCAACATGGTTTGTAAGCTTCGCAAGTCTATCTACCAGCTCAAAAAGGCATTCCGGCAGTGGTTCAATGCTTTTTCGAGTGTCGTTCTCAAGCTTGGTTTTCAACAATCACCTGTTAAACATTCCTTGTTCACTAAAGGATCTGGTGATTCTTTTATTGCTCTTTTGGTTTATGTGGACGACATTGTAATTGCTGGTGCAAATTTGCAGTTGCTCCATAGGATTCAAAGTCATCTACAACAAAATTTTATGCAAAAGAAGCTGGGCATTTTGCACTATTTTCTTAGGTTTAAGGTAGCTCGAAGTGCATATGGAATTTCTTTATCTCAGCGAAAGTATGCTTTGTAGTTGCTCGAGGATGCAAGATGTTTGGGTATGAAATCGGTTGATTCTCCCATGGTCCATTCCTTGAAGTTGAGTATTGATGAAGGAGAACCATTTCATGATCCTCAAGAATATCGTCGGTTGATAGGCCAACTTCTCTACTTAACTAACACCGGGCCCAACATTGTTCATACGGTGCATTGCTAAGCTAATTCGTATCTTCTCCTCATCTACCTCACATGACAACTTTGAAACATCTTCTTGCTTATATCAAACAGTAGCCTGGGTTTGGTTTTCTTTTTCCAGTTCACTCTAGTGTTCAGTTGAGTATTTTTGTTGATTCGGATTATGGTTCTTGCTCGGATACTCGATGTTCTATATCAGGGTTTTGTGTTTTTTGGTGATAGCCTTGTTTATTGGAAATCGAAAAAGCAAGCCATTGTTAGTCGATCTTCCTGTAAAGAAAAATATCGAGCTACGACAGTAGCCACTTGTGAGCTGGTTTGGTTTACTTCTATACTGTCATCTTTCCATATCTTTACCGATTATGTACATTTGTTTTCGACACCGTTTTTCACCTCGAGCGGGGAAAGATCAATACCGACTTGGGGGTTTTTTCTTTGAAAAGAATTTTGAAATGTGAGGAGTCACCACTAATCATTTAAGGTGTGATTGGGACACCATAAAAACCGGCTGATTTTAATAAAACATTTTTTTTATAAAAATACCAAGTTTTAAGGTATGCGAAAATCCAGAAATTAGGTTCGGGAGCCGGTTACGCGTGGGGAAGGATTAGCACTCCCGTAAACACCCAATAACTGGTACCTAGTTGATTACCCTATATTTAAATTCAAATATTTTGAGTTCGAACGTTATTTAATTTAAAAATCATTACGGAAGTGAAGTTAAAAAGGGTATTCTTTTACCAAAGCCGATAGCATTAGACCCCTAGCATAAACGTGGGAGATCAAATATTGTGCTTGATAACCAAATATTACCTTGATATTTTGGAAATCATGATGTGGTTTTGAAAAGGATGTCGGCTTCTTTTGGGAATCACCGGTAGTCACCCCTGAGCTTACTTACGGGAGATATACTATTAATTCCCTAATAAGTGAACATTGCCTTAGGGTTAAAAATAAAATGCAATCAAATTTTTTTTATTTATCCTAATTAAACTAATAGTAAATTAATACTTTTTATAGCTTAAAGTGTCGAATTATTGAAAATTAAAGGACTTAGAGGCATAAACCTAAAAATGTAGGCTCTAATATTAATCCAATTTTATTTTTAAACCAATTATTGAATCGAACAATAGAGATGGTCCCTTGAGCATTATGCGAGGGCCGACTCGAATTATTCCCTTAATTAAGAGGACTATATTGAAATCTAGCAAAAAGTGGAGGCCCTATTTAACCTATTTAATTATGTCAATATTAAAGCTCTAATCGAAGTTCGGGGACTAAGAAGGTAGAGATCTAAAATAACGATTTCCAAAAGACTAAAAGAATAAGGATCTAAATCAATAATTTCTAAAGTTGAGGACTAATTAATAAACCAAAAAATCTAATTATTATCTAAATTATCCTATTAAAAGGGAATTAAACCTAATTTTTTAGAAATTATTAATAAATTTTAAAAGGTCAAACACTCGATTCGAGTAATCGAACATCTTATGATAAAACTTGACTCGAGTTGCACCCTAATTAAACTAGAGTGTCATCCTAATTTTTAACTTCGATTTGAGTGTTAACCTAATATAAGAACTAAGCCTAAAAAATTAAACTATGAAATATTGAGTCACTTAATAAATCTAATTAAAATAATAATAAATAAAAAAAGAAAAAACAACATAAAATAATAAAACAACATACATACAAGGACCTAATTGCATGATTATCAAATTACTATACTGAAAGGGAATAAATTAAACATATAACGGGGCTAAATTAAAACATATTGAAATTTACAGACTAAATCTAAACAAAATAAAAAAAATAGATTAGGGATTAAAATACAAAAACATGTAGAAATTAAAGGGACCTAAAGGTAATTATCCAATTTATTTAAGCCTAAAAATAATATGTAAATTACAAAGGATAAATTATAGAATCAGTCCACACAAATTTAAAAAA